TATATTCCTTAAATGAGATACATGCAATTTTAGAGCCATTTCACGAGTGTGTTGCCTTGGGTTAGACTCAAAAAGCTTCTTCAGAGAAACAATATCAATTCCAACATGTCGGCCCCTGCCATCACAGTTTTTAAGGCTATAGTCACCTGAACGAAATTTGCTGAACCATCGTTGACACTTACGAACGTTCGAAATATTTCGATAAACTTCTTTGATATTCTTTGTGGCTATAGAGGCGTTGTTTCCCTTCTTGTATTCAAACAGCGTTACATGCCGAATGTGTGTCTCGTCTTGTGCCATCACTATAAGGGATTAGAATAAACTAAACTTAACGTATTATCTAGGCTACACTAACGTGACGTTTAAGCGGTTCGTTTAACTATTATACGTGATGTATGTTTTTTGGGGAGTGGTTAATGAAAGTGTACCAAAACGTGACAATAATTTCGTGGCGACCTAATATTACTAAACCCAAAAACAGATGTTGTATGTTGCTCTTGAAAACGTTGAAACTATTTTGAAATAGTTCACTGATTTCAAAACATCAAAATCAACATCCGTCGGGCTGACTTAAGTTCCCATTAGAAAGACAAACAAAATATTATGTATGTGTAAGAGAAAGTAGGGTTTAATCTTCAGAACATAACTGTTTTAATTTTTACAATTCCATCTTCGTCAGTAGAGTTAATTATACAGGTGATATTCATATATGGATAATTTATGACAGAGCATGAGCCGAAACCCGAAGTTGTGTTTCTTCCTAAACGCTTAAAACTCATTTTGAATTTCGGATACTTCAGTATATTTGACAAAAAGCTCATTATTTTCACATTTCTTCGAAAAATATGAAAAAAAAGTGATCATTTTACCCACTATGATATTTGCTACGTTCATAATATTCTTGGCTAAAAAAACACAAGAATATCAACGGTCACGCTTAATAGTGTATTACTTTAATTATAAATAATTAACACGACTTAATTTACAGTAATTATTTTTATTTTTTAGATTCTTCTGATATTTGTAAAAGTGTATATAGTTGACACATCTACATATCACATATTTTTTAGATTATTCTGATATTTGTAAAAGTGTATGTAGTTGACACATCTACATATCACACATTTTTTAGATTATTCTGATATTTGTAAAAGTGTATGTAGTTGACACATCTACGTAGCACACATTTTTTAGATCCTTCTGATATTTGTGAAAGTGTTTATAGTTGACACACCTACGTAGCACACATTTTTGTAGCAATGTGTGTGATACGTAGATGTGTCAACTATATACACTTTTACAAATATAAGAAGAATCTAAAAAATGTGTGATACGTAGATGTGTCAACTATATACACTTTTACAAATATAAGAAGAATCTAAAAAATGTGTAATACGTAGATGTGTCAACTATATACACTTTTACAAATATAAGAAGAATCTAAAAAATGTGTGATACGTAGATGTGTCAACTATATACACTTTTACAAATATCAGAAGAATTGACAGCATGAAAACGACTCATAATCAATTACAGCTTATAGACTTTTTTTTCAGAGATTACGTACAAATATGTTGTTATTAAACTACTGAGTTGGATCAGTTCTTGAAATGCACATTTGTGATTTAAGTTTAGATTAGTAAAATTGGGTAAGTATGCCTATTCGAATTTGACATATGGGTGATCATCAACACACTTTACCTTCTTTGTGTCAAAAATAGAAAGTTGCCTGCCAATCACGTTTGCAAGTATGTTGTTTTCATGATGCGGCCTGTCTATTGGTAATTTGTTACGTCTAAAAAACTCACGCGCAGAAACCGTATATAATAAATTCACGAATTACCTCAGGCTTATATTATAAAAGAACACCAACTGTTATCGGCTTATTCGAAAGTTTATTAAAACGATCACAGCATTTATTACACATTTTCAAAACAGTATGATATGTACAATGCTTTGCCTGAACACCTCTGTGTAAGGGGTAACTGAAATAAACAGTCAAAATACAGTTCAAACCATACGTAAAGCACATTGTTTATTGAAACTTATGCATAAATGATCCATTATGAAATGACTGTGTAATATTTTGCAAATATTTTTAAACCTGCTTTCATTATAAGACATAAATACAGATAAATAGAATTAGGGTTTGTTGAAGAAAAAATTTTCATGAGTACAGTTTGTATAAAGGCAAAAAAAAAAGGCCTACCATTCAATTACAGAAATAGTGTTGTAGTTAATACGCACTTGTCACTAATAGTTACCATTGTTTAAGCTTTCCACTTGTACACAACTCGTTTGTCAATATTTCCTGACAGTTCTAGTTTTCTTGTGATTATTGCGTGTTCCGTCACGAAGTGAATAAGATAAGCCCTGGATAAAAAAACAAGTTCAACATATTTATCGCTCATGCAAGGAAATCTGTTTGCAAGGTTGCAGAACAAAGATGATAAGATATTCAGCTTTAATACATCGAACTATTTATATCGGATATGACAACATCATTCGTCTTTTTTTTACCGATATGTATTTATATGATACAGTTTTATGTATAAAAAAGCAATAAATGATATCTTTTTGCATTATTTTTTATTCTTAAAGTAAAATTTATAAACTTTGAAACCGCACTAAGCTCATTCAGCACCGTTGGTGATACTGATAAACATTGTTGTACACCAATAGAAATAACTTGACTTCCAATATATAACTCAGTTGCTAATATTTATAATGATATAAGTGCCGTTTCCGCAACATGTTGAGAAAATCAAACAAATATTTTACTCTACACAACAAGATATGCGAAGATAGAATATTATACTACAATATAACGGATATTACGTTTTTATGTTCAATGTTCTTATTAATCACAACCAAAGTAATCGTTTGTTGGGGTAATGCGTCTATAATTGAAGCTGTTTGTTAATGCTTAAAAATATGCAGGCTTAGCTTGTATATGATACAACCTATTGCACAATAAATACTGCTGTAAAAATAAAAGGTGCTAAGACTGAAAGGTACTTTCGATGATGACGCTTTTTCTATTATTGCATGTCTAGTCACAGCCTACTTATGCTGAACGTTCTCTCTTGTTTATACTATACAGTAATATATACATAATTATTTAAACAAGCTACAAAATCTTAGTAATATTACAACCAAAGTAAGTATAGCGTTATTTTTACACAACATATCCAAACCTTAGATGAAACATAGATTTAATTTTGTGAAGAAGGAAAAAATAAAAAATAGTAAATGAATAAAAATGCAGCCACAAAACAAACACCCAACAACAGGGCACAAACCATAGGGTAGATCATTATGTAATGTGCCCAGTTTTGTTTTTAAATACCTGCGGAATTAAAACACAAATTGCGTTGGAGGTACCTGATGGTTTGTACCCCCCGTGTTGGATTTTGTTTTGTGGCTGCATTTTTATTCATTTTTTCTTCTCCATAAATATATATACATACGTGTGTGTGTGTGTGTGTAAGCTTAATAATGAATGACTTAGATATGTTCCTTTTCCGTGAGGTTTCTAGAAAATAAGATGTGTCCAGTTTTATCCTGGTCCAGAATTGTGGTTCTCTCATGTCGTCAAGCCTTGTTGAAGTCTCTTCATTCATTTCACCATAACAGAAGAAATACAACTGAACAGAGTTTGATTCATGGTACAGTGCTCACAAGTCGTATGAAAAAATCACCATCAACTGTAAATCAGTGACCAGCTGGACTAAACTAGTTTACACCACAGTTCAGTGACCAGTTGGACTAAACTATTTTACACCACAGTTTAGTGACCAGCTGGACTAAACTATTTTACACCACAGTTCAGTGACCAGCTGGACTAAACTATTTTATTCCACAGTTTAGTGACCAGTTGGACTAAACTATTTTACACCACAGTTTAGTGACCAGCAGGACTAAACTGTTTTACACCACAGTTCAGTGACCAGCTGGACTAAACTATTTTACACCACAGTTCAGTGACCAGTTGAACTAAACTATTTTACACTACAGTTTAGTGACCAGCTGGACTAAACAATTTTACACCACAGTTCAGTGACCAGCTGGACTAAACTATTTTACACCACAGTTTAGTGACCAACTGGACTAAACTACTTTACACCACAGTTCTGCTATATGATATTATTCAAGTGTGCAACGATGAACAAAAAAGGTTCAATTATTTTTACTTCACAGACGAAAACGTTTCTTTTTTTTTTCGTATACAACAAGAACGCGTCGTATAAAAGGCAATTCTCTATCTGTATGTGTTCATTTTCATCTCACGCCGGAAAGTTCGAATTTTCATCCTCTTCGTCACGGACGGGAATGGTGGTATGGTTGTAAAGACCCTGAGCCATCAGCTTCAAAGCCAGAGGATTTTTCTGACCGCTGGCTTTCTTTATTTTAGCACGCTTGTTCTGAAACCAGATTTTTATCTGAGATTCGTTCAGTTGAAGATCTAATGCTAAATCCTGGCGTCGTTTCTCCGTCAAGTACCGGTTCTCTTGAAATTCTTGCTTTAAACGGGCCAACTGGTCTGCAGTGAAAGCAGTTCTCGGCCGCTTCTCGTCCGGCGTTTTCTTTTTACCCTTCAGTTTTCGTGACCGAGGACCTAAAATATAAACAGAAAAACTAAATTATATATCTCTTATAATATTTCTATTGATATTAGTGTAAATATACAACAGATCAATTGAAACAGATATTTGAGAGAGATATGTGAAACAGAATGTTATAGTGTAACGTAATGTATATTATATTTCATGTTTAGTAAACTATGCTCATTAATAGAGGATAAGAATATTCAGGTTTCAAAATGTAAAACTGGTAGTAAATTATTGTTGTTTTTTTAATTAAATTTATCCTGCATTACATTCCGCTACATAAAATTGAAAATATTATACTTTACAAAACCAACTTTATACAAAATATTTTGTAGAATATTTTGATTTATGTTACATGTATTAGATTAAGTGTAAAACTATCTTCCAGTATCTGATTTTCTATTAATGGATTTGAACGAAGAGTGTGAATCTGCAAAACTAGAAGACTGTTTTTATACAGTTTGGTTTCAGATTACATGGACAAAACTAAAGTAATGCAGATGGTACAACAGTAAGATGAGCAACAGTGACGTCACTGTGTACTTCCCGCCTTGTTGCAATAGGGAAGTTAATGATATACAGAGTTCCACCACCAATTGAGTCCGCAGAGAATCTACTTGAAAGTACTGCATTTATTTCCTGTCATCCTACACTGTGGGTGGCATGTCTTATAACATCATGTCAGTTTCTACAACTCCAACCATCAATGATGGACTTTCTTCTCTGTTTTTGAGTATTACGATCGTGTCATATTGACATAGTCCAAGAAAATATATTTCCTGCACCATAACAAGTAACTTGTATATGTTAGAATTAATGATATACACGTACAAATATATATTAGCATATATGCATAGTGTCAGAAGCAAGGGTAGAGTGTAAGAGCACAGGGGGAGCAAATAATCTGATATTCAAAAGGCTCTAATTAAAATAGTATTTATCTTCATTTTTATTATTTGTCAACTCGGTGGAACATGTTCATATTTGGTTACATATTTTTTTCTGTACCATTTTCCCAATGAAAGTATGTTTTTGCTTAAAGAAAAATGAGCCTAACAAAGTACAAACCATAAATGAAAAGCAAGAAATCCTTTTTATTGAAGTTTTCAATTTTATTAACATTTGCAAATACTTGAAACTTCTCAGGTATCACTGTCATATGCTTGTACCCAGTAATATTATTGCTATCTGTTTTAAAAAGAATTGTTCAAATTAAAATATTTTGACACTATGTCTAGAGTACTTATGAATTTTAGTGGAATGAAAAGAGGGATTTCTAGCTTGAGAAAATAAGTAGACACTATTAACAGCCTTTTTTGTTTATTGATTTTAGGGTCCCTAGTTGTAGGCTTGAAAATATAATATTTGAATTTTGATTCAACTGGTTTCTGTACTTTTTTGACGATCCATATTCCCCCTTTTTAAATTAACAATTTTTACTAATCTTTTTCTTAAGTTTTTTTTTTAATGTTCATATGCAGTTAGTTGAATGATAGCTATATTTAAACAGTTTACAGCTGAATTGGCTTTTCACTCAACCATAATTTACTGAGCCAGGTGGTTTTTGTGCCTGAGGTTTCGTGTAAACACGTGTTTATCAAGCGTCGAGTCCATCGCTCACACCAACATCGCATATATTATGAATTTATAGACATGTAAATCAACTTTCAATGAAAAATACTCACTTGTTTAAATAGGTCACGGACATTCGCATTGTTTTATATAGTATATCTGTCTAGGTTTTGGTGCAAAATACTCAGCCGATTTTGCTGTAGGCTTGTGAAATAAAATATGAATAATGATAATAATATATGCACTCACAGGTACGAAAATCAGTAGAATGAATCTCCACTCACAAGTGTAGATAAATCTACTATGGTAATCGTCTACTGTTAGAAATAGTCGCAGAAAATTACTTTGAGACAAAGTACAACAGCGAACTCGAGAAATGATGAATCCTCAACGTGGCAGTTTCGAATTAAGTTGCTATGAGTTGCACAAGTTATTTTCCAATTAATGCACATTAGTAAAACACCGGATTTTTTCAATGGCGGAAAAGTGAAGAACTTAGATAAATTCTTCAGGACGAAAAAAACAAAATCGCTTGAATTAATTTTAAAACTATCCTGTGACATGCTCAATACTGCATTCATTACGATACAAGCATTTCGAAGAGTAGTTTTGTTATCTCCTGTCGTGGGTGGCAGGTGTCTCCAGCCTTATTATTACTAATTATAGTTTTACAAGCCACTACAGAAAAATGGCTACGAATATTTTACTGAAACCTGGACAATAAAACTATTCTTCGAAATGCTTGTATCATAACTACTCTTCGAAATGCTTGTATCAAAACTACTCTTCGAAATGCTTGTATCATAACTACTCTTCGAAATGCTTGTATCATACTTACCTTGTCAATCATATTTGTTTTGTTGTTGTTGTTGTTTTTCGCTGTACAAATTTGTCAATTAGTAAAATGTGTATTTTGTGGAGTAGATAGAAATTGAAGTCGGCCAATTTTTACTTCTACAGAGAACTACTAATTTGAAGATGATGTATGACTTTTAAGCGTTTTTTACTAAAAATCTATTACGTTTCAAAATGATTTTAAATTCCATAAATTTCATGTAATAAAAAAAAAAGAATTTTTATACATATATATCCCGGCATGCTGAGAGCTTGTAAGATTTTAGTTGTGGAACTAACAGAGCCAGTTATTTATTACTATTTTTATATTCACAAGGTTGATTTAAGCGATGTTACTAATGTTAAATATGTCATTTGTTTTATACATTTTATGAAGAACAGTATAGATCAACGGACTGTTGTTAGAGTGATGATGATATAAAAACAGTTACATTTGCTTGATGTATGTAAGCCAGACTATTTGTATGGAAGACTTCTGAGAGAGGAGTTCAGAAGACAAAACGTAAAATTCGGATATGAGTGAGAGAGAGAGAAGGAAGAGAATTAAAAACTAACGTGTGATAAGAGGTTCTCGTTTATTAACTCTAAATGTGTGGCTGTTTATTTATAAACTAATATAAAGAATGTTGAAATGTATTAACAGGAAATTAAGTTTACTTTTCTAAACATAAAAATAACTTAGGTAAATATATGTAACTCGAAACTTCATCACTATGTGGTTATTTTTGTGCAACTTTAATTTTCTGTTTCAGTTTGTTTACTCGATACAGAAAAGAAGTGTGATCCACTTTTCGAGTTGGTGAAAAATAACATAAAGAGGATATGTTGAATTTTTGACAGTCTGAAGCATTCAGAAAATTAACAATTCTAAATAAATTTTACATAATATTTGATGATAAATTAAAAGGTATAAAAGTTCAATAACATTAAAAAGTGAAGAACGGCTTTAAAAATGGTAATTCATGTATAGGAAATAATTTCATTGTGAATCAAGAAAATCCTTTCACATAACATCTAAACGGTTTGAAGACTGAAAACTATTACTCAAAAGAAGAAACTTTATTGAAGTCGGTAGTAATGAAACATTCACACAATATTAAACTTATTACATCACCAAAGAAATTAAATAAAAATCTGTCATAGTTTAAAAACCCACTCATAAGGTCAGCCTCCCAATGGCACAGCGATATGTCTGCGAACTTACAAAGCTAGAAACCGGGTTTCGATACCCAAGGTAGGCAAAGAACAGGTAGCCCATTGTCTAGCTTTGTGTTAAATTACAAACAAACAACTAATAAGGTCATTCCTCAGAAAATCGCTATTATAATATGAAATAAAGTAAGTAAGATTTCCCATCTGCTTATTCTGTGAAAATTATTACCTTAAATGTCCGGAACAACCAATAAATATATGTTAAAATATTCCTATGTAGTCCAGTGCCAGAAAGAGTATTATATGTGATTATTTATTGGAGAGGCGTCTTCATAGATATTTGAAACCTCTATATAAGTGTTTAGTTTTTAATTGCAATATATTATTACTTTTACAAAATTAAGAAAGATACATTTTATGTTCATACTTTGCTATAAATCAGCCGTGGTATTAACACTCCCAGATTAAAGGCGTGGATCTATAAATTATTATTATTATTATTGTATGTGACGGATTTATTATTATATATTTATTTTAATATCAACGTTTGTTTAGATTAAGCTTATATTAGATCGTCAAGAAATTAATGTCGAGTTTTGGAATACTTTCATTAACCACCCACCATAAAACGTACATCACGTATAATAGTTAAACAAACCGCCTAAATGTTACGTTAGTGTAGCCTATATAATGTGTAAATTTTAGTATACTTTAATCCCTTATAGTGATGGCACACCACGAGACACACATTCGGCATGTAATGCTGTTTGAATACAAGAAGGGAAACAGCGCCCCTGTAGTCACAAAGAACATCAAAGAAGTTTATGGAAATGTTTTGAACGTTTGTAAGTGTC